TAGTTAAATGCATTTCAGAGACTCAACAATGAACTATAATAAGGAAAGGAAGGCAACAAGGAAGTAACCGGTAACATCTTGGTAAATAATTTGAAAAAATATTTTAAAAGCTGGTATTTTACCAGAAGAATTCAATAGTGATGCACAATAGATTTTAAAAATAAATGATGCAATTTGGGTCAATCACTATGTTTACAAAGCAAATATCCATCTGATAAAAGACTGGCCAGAAGCCACATTCACAGTGCTATTTTCAGTAAAATTTTTAAAATCCCTTTTCAGAAATAGAAGTGATTCCCAACATTGAATTATCATCATCTGCTTCTGTGATTTTCCCTCACTGACTGAGCTCCTAAACGCACAGACCCTGTCTCACTCAACCTCAGGTTCTGGGTGCCAGCACTGTGCCTGGCATGTGGAGGCACTCGGTGAGGTTTTATCTAAGGAAGCAAGGAAGGAAAAGCAGCATACACCAAACAAATTCACCAGGTTCTGCCCCTCTGGACAAAGCAACTTCATTTCAGGAATGCAGCAATTAAAATTATTTAAAATTTGGGAACTTATTCTTTATACATGCACTATGACCGAGTTACAGATAGCTTTGAATATAAAGAAAATGATTGCATCCATAATCCTACCATGCAAATACATGAAGGGTTGGCATTTTGGTTTTAGCAAAAAGTAATGTTACCACTATTAGACTTAATTTCTAATGCCACTTAGAAGCGTGCTTTTGGGGGGAAATATCATATTTTAAAAACTGACAGTGTTTTAGAAAGTGCTTTCAAATATGACAAGGTGAGAAGAAAAACATAAGGCATGTTAAAGAGGAATTTAAAAAATGCAAATCATGAATGTGAAAGGGAAGGGAAGATTCTTTGCCAGACTCTGATTAGGAGACAAATGATGCTCCTAGAATATTTCTGGTTTAGGATGAAGGGTTTTTTATTTGCATAGTTTATGCTAACTTGGATTGAGGAAAGGAAAATGTGTTGCAATTAATAAATAGCTAAGTCACCTAACTGGTAAAACCAAACATTAATAGACTGTCTCAGAGCTACTGGCCTTCCATTTGGCAAAGCTATGCTATAAATGGGGTACTGGGTGAATTTTAGAGAACTGGACAATGAATATTATCCAGTCTTTAAAAAGGAGGAAATTCTACCCTAACCGGTTTGGCTCAGTGGATAGAGAGTCAGCCTGGGGACTGAAAAGGTCCCGGGTTCGATTCCGGTCAAGGGCATGTACCTGGGTTGCAGGCACATCCCCAGTAGGGGGTGTGCAGGAGGCAGCTGATCGATGTTTCTCTCTCATCAATGTTTCTAACTCTCTATCCCTCTCCCTTCCTCTCTGTAAAAAATCAATAAAATATATTTTTTAAAAAAGAGGAAATTCTGTCACATACTACCACATGGATGAACCTTGAAAACAATATGTTGCCCTGACTGGTTTGGCTCAGTGGATAGAGCGTCGGCCTGTGGACTGAAGGGTCCCAGGTTCAATTCCAGTCAAGGGCGTGTGCCTTGGTTGCGGGCACATCCCCTGTAGGGGATGTGTAGGAGGCAGCTGATCGATGTTTCTAACTCTCCATCCCTTTCCCTTCCTCTCTATAAAAAAATCAATAAAATATATTTAAAAAAGAAAAAGAAAACAATATGTAAAGTGGAATAAGCCAATCACACAAAGACAAACACTGTATGATTTCCTTCTAGGTATCTAAAATAGGCAAATTCATAGAAACAGCAAGTAGAATAGTGGTTGCCAAGGGCTGGGGAGAGGGACAAAGGAACAGTCATTGTTTAATGGATAGAGTTTCAGATCTGCAAGATGAAAACATTCTAGAGATAGTTCAGAACAATGTGAATATACTTAACACTATTAAACATACAGTTAAAAATGGTTAAGATGGTCATAAGGGGAGAGAGAGAACTGGAATTAGAAAACTAAGCCAGTGGTTTAGTCTTCTAATAAAATGTAGTATTATTCAGAGGTGAGGGACATTGTTAAATAATTCAAGAACAGATTCTCCCAGGGTATTAAATCCTTTGTGAAGGGGCCATAACCCTCCCCACCCCACCCCACCCCTTGAAACTCATGAACTGTGGCTCTGGGACTATGGGACTCAGGAGGCTGGGTTTTAATCCAAGCTCGGTTGTTCGCCTGGCTGTGTGATTTGAGTGGCCACTTTGACATTCCTGGGCCTCAGCTTGGCCTAAGGATGATCTGTCACCCCTCTCACTTTTAGAACCCGTTCCTGCAGGCACAGGAGCTGACCAGTCCCAAGTGGTACCCATCTAACAAGGTACTTCTCAGTGTCTACATTTTATGCAATGGTAACCATTTAAAGTATATTTTTACATTGCTAAATTAGTAATATAATTTAGTAATTATTTTATATTACTAATGCATGGGTGTAAGTATACTATTCCTAGAAGAAACTGAACATTTATTAAATGTATCACACTCTACTTAGTACTTTGCATATTCAGTGTCCACAGCTGGAATTGGACCAGAGAGTATTAAGTAACTTTTCCAGCCACACAGCTCATAGGTTGCAAATTGGGACTCTGAACTCCATTTTCTGCCTGCAAAGGTCATGCTCTGAAGCCTAAGCTAAACTGGAGCCGAATATAGAATTTGCATGAAACATAAGAATTCTAAGAAAAGTTTGTAGAAAAGTTTAAGAGGTCTAACAGAATGGGGTCTTTTATAAATTCACTTCTTGAATTCCATCCATCCTGGTGAAATCACCAATTTGGCTCTTTTTAAAAAAAAAATAAATTTATGCTTATTGATTTCAGAGAGGGAGAGGGAAAGCGAGAGATAGAAACATCAATGATAAGAGAGAATCATTGATTGGCTGCTATCTGCATGTCCCCTATTGGGGATCGAGCCCACAACTCAGGCATGTGCCCTTGACGGGAATCGCACCCAGGAACCTTCAGTCCGTAGGCCAATGCTCTATCCACTGAGCCAAACCAGCTAGGACAATTTGGCTCTACTTAACCCATAACCTCCCAAGTCCCAACACCTCTAGCCTTGCTGCTCAATACCACAAAAGTGTACATGCACTGACTTAGTACAGAATGTAGTTCAGTTACTAAACTGAACTCGCTAGAAGTTTTAGTCCCAAGGGTCAAGATTCTTACCACACTATCGGAGACGTCTCTGTGCTCCAATAGAAACAAATCATTCATATGTACTTAAGAGTGCTAAAGGCAAATGCTTAGAAGAGAAAGTATCAAAAATATGTAAACTGTTTCAAGTCAGACAAGCAAGTAAAACACATTGTTTTGTGATTTGCCAAATTTGGTCCTTCATCTTAAGGTGGCCAGGCATAGAACACAAACACACACCAGGTGGCTGAACTAAGTTTATTTACAAAGTAAATATTTAGTGGTCTGATTTCTGGCCTGCTTGAAGCACTCTGTTCCAAGAATATAAGCAAATTAAGTGTTCCTTGAAATAGAAAATGTGGATAAAATGACAATGGCCCTTTTAAAGATACGTTTAAATTGATCTGTGACTGGAACTATTAAAGGGTTATTAATATTAAAGGAACATTATTTTTGCTCTTGTGGTTAGAATATTTTTTGCTGTCTAATTAAAATATTTGGCTTTTCTGAGTTTGGTTTTAAATAAATTATGGCTTAAAATAAATTATAAATTGGTAATGGCTTAGTCACATGCATTAATAGAAACCAAAAGGTAAAACCCCAATCCTGAGTAAATGTAATCTCTGTCTACTCTGGTTTGGCACCATGTGGCTGAAACAGATTAGAGAAAATCAAACATCCATTAAATAAGGGCTCCCAGCTTTAAGTGGGTCTCCATGCCGCTCAGTAACTACAGCCTCTCCCACCTCCTCGTCAACTATTTCCTATCTTCTTCTCGTTCCTCAAACCTCTAACCCCACCTTCCCGAGGTTCTCTCTCAGCTGGTGACCTTGACCTTTTTGCCTATGTCACCGACAAAGATAAAACAGAAATCCCCCCACAAGCTCACACCTCTGCACCTACCCGTACACCAGCATTATGCTCCTGTGCTGTCTCCCCCATTTTCTCTGCTTGAGCTGTCCTGGCTCCCATTCCAAGGTGAACCCCACCACTTGGGCACTGGATGCCACTCCTGTCACCAACTCAAGGGCACTGCTCCAGCAATCTCCCCCTATTCCTCCTGCACGTCTGTTTCCCCTACTTACTGAATCATTCCCATAAGCATACAAACATGCTATTATTGTTCCCATTCTAAAAGAAAATAAAACTTTCTCAAACCCACTGCACCCTCCAGCTGACTTCCCATTCTCTGCTTCTCTTCATAGTAAGACTCTTGGAGGGCATTATTATCTCCAATTCTCCCATCCTCTCTGAACCATTCTGATCAGCCTTTGTCCTCATCACTCCACAAGGGCACCGAAGTCTCACAGGATGCAATGGTCAAACATCCTTCTTGACCTATCAACTCTCTCTGACACAGACAATCCCTCCTGTGCACCCTCCCTTGAAACCCCTTTTCCTCTGGCTTCTGGAACTTCACACTCTCCTAGTTTTCTTCCTGTTTCACTGACTCTTCCTTCTCCCTTCTGTCTTTTCTACAGCCCCCTGCTCACCTTCCTGACCTCCACCACCCGGAGGGCCCCGGGGCTCAATTCACAGACCTCCTTTCTGCTCTAGCTTCACCTTCTCCTTTCGTGACAGCATCCAAACTAAATTGATATCTCCAGCTTCTCCCCTCAGCTCCAGGCTTGTCTATCCGAATCTCCATTCAACATCTCGATCAGAATGTGCGCAAGGCATCTCACAGGCAACAAGCCCCAAACCTAACACTTGACTTCCACTCCCCAAACCTGTTTCTCCCAAATTCCTCCCATCTAAGTAAATAGCAACTTCATCCTTCCTGTTGTTCAGGCTCAAAACCCCAGAGCTAGCTAGCCTTGTCTCCTCTCCTTTTCTCACACCCACCTCTTCTTCCAGGCAAAGCCTAGCACCTCTACCTTCCACATATATCCAGAATCAGACCACTTTTCATTCTTATGAAGGATGTCACTCTTATGAGGGAAGGAAGAGAGAATAAAATATTTCAGAGAAATTTAGAATATCCGTACAGAATATTTCTGGTAGAGTAGACAAGAAGTCGATGACAGTATTGCTTCTAGAGCAGTGGTTCTCAACCTTCCTAATGCTGCGACCCTTTAATACAGTTAGTTCCTCATGTTGTGGTGACCCCCAACCATAAAATTATTTTCGTTGCTACTTCATAACTGTAATTTTGCTACTGTTAAGAATCGTAATGTAAATATCTGATATGCAGGATGTTTTCTCATTGTTACAAATTGAACATAATTAAAGCACAGTGATTAATCACAAAAACAATATGTAATTATATATGTGTTTTCCGATGGTCTTAGGCGACCCTTGTGAAAGGGTCATTCAACCCCCAAAGGGGTTGTGACCCACAGGTTGAGAACCGCTGTTCTAGAGGGAAAAATGAGGGATTAGGGAACAAGAAAGGGAAGGGGACGTACTTCTCACTCATACCCCTTGTACCTTTTGAAGTTGTGTGCCATGTGCATTAAAAGCCTTCTAAAAATAAGCAAAGTAATTTACGAATGACGATAATGGCAGTAGGCCCTGTCTGGCCTCCCATCGAGAGGGCAGGGAAGATGACACTGGTCAGAAGGGCCCCAGGTCCCTGCACTGCTCCATGAAGCTTTCTGAGAGCCTCAGTTCCACCATCTGCAAAGGAAAGATAACAATCAGAGCTCGCCTCATTTTATGATGGGGATCTGCTGTGAGATAGCACATTATAAGTGTAGAACATTATACGTACACTAGAGGCCTGGTGCACGGATTCATGCACATTGAAAGGAAATTAATTAGAAAGTGGCCGGTGGGGCAGGACTGGGTGAGACGGGCTGGACATGCTCTGGAGCCAAGCTTCTCGGTCCCTCCCCAGCTGGCTGCACCTGGGGTGGCGCTGGGGCTCGAAGGGCGTCTGCGGAGTGAGCAGGGTCCCTCCGGCAGGTGGGGTCCCTGGGCCCGGCCTACAGGGATCTGGCCGAAACCAGCTCTCTCATATCCTCCAAGGGGTCCTGGAGTGCGAGAGGGCACTCTGTAAAGTTGTTGTCGCTCGGCAGGTCCTGTGTTGAGCATCTGCCCCCTGGTGGTCAGTGTGCATCATACCACTGGCCAGTTAGCCAGTCACTTAGCCTTTTATATATATACTAGAGGCCTGGTGCACAAAAATTTGTGCACTTGGGGCGGGGATGGGGGGAGGGAGGCGGGAGTCCCTCAGCCCAGCCTGTGCCCCCTCTCGCAGTCTGGGACCGCTCAGGGGATGACCACCTGCTGGCTTAGGCCCACTCCCTGGGGGATTGGGTCTAAGAAGGCAATCAGACATCCCTCTGGCAGCCCGGCAGCCCTCGGGGGATGTCCACTTGCCAGTGGGGAGCAGGCCTAAACTGCAGTCGGACATCCTTAGTGCTGCTGAGGAGGCAGGAGAGGCTTCCACCACCACCACTGTACTTTGAAGGGTGTCCTGGATCAGGGTGGGGGTCCCACTGGGGTGCCTGGCCAGTCTTGGTGAGGGGCTGAGGGCCGTTTTCAGCTGGTGGGTGACTGAAGCTCCCAACCTCTCCTTTTTTTCTTTTTTTTATTCTGGGATTTATTTACCTTCTATGGCTATCACTGGAGCTGGGAGCCGGCTTTACCTCTGAGGCTTGGCTCCAGCTCTGAGACCTCGGCTGCTGAAAGCAGGTATCTGGGCTTTGTTTAGCTTCTATAATTGAAACACTGTTGCAACTCCAGCTCTGAGGCCCGGCTGGCTGAAAGCAGGTTTCTGGGGTTTGTTTAGCTTCTATAATTGCAACATAGTTGCTTAGAGTGCAGCTCAGAGCTGGGTGGTGGCAGGCAGGGAACCTTGGCTTCCTCCATCACTGGAGCAAGCAAGCCTCCTGTTCACTTCAGCTGCTTGGCTGCCGGCCGCCATCTTGGTTGGCAGTTAATTTGCATATCGCCCTGATTAGCCAATGGGAAGCGTGTCGGAGGTATGGTTAATTACCATGTTTGTCTATTATTAGATAGGATAGATAGATAGATAAGTTTTCACCATCCCTTAGGAAAAAGGCAGCACACTGAGCTATGGAACATATGGAGCCAGAATACCAATAGTAGAACTGTCTGTGTGTAGCGTAAGTTCTTGGAAGTAGGAAAATCAGTAGAAAATCTGTTGCTTGGTCTTAAACAACTTTATTTTAAATTTAGCTTGTGTAATCAAGATGATCATTTGCATTATTCCAGCTCCTGCGTTCTCTGGCCTTGTGAATGATTATGCAAATCTTAGTCCTGCCCCCCTAGATTGTTCTCTTATTCTCACAATGTACAGACTACCTGGAATCTAAAGGACTGGAAAGATTTGCAATTCACAGAAATGCTAGAATCAAATAATGGCAAAATTTCAAAGTCATGTAATAGAATGCTCTAAATTTTAAAATACAAAAGTTTCAGATGGGTTCTAGGTGAAGCCCTGCCTTGAGACACAATAATGATTGTATTAAAATTCATGAAAAGATGCAAAATAACTTGATTTATGGCTTTTGGCGAGAGGATAAAAACAATGTGTAATGTGTGGAATTCATTTTTAAGCCACACATTGAGCATCAGTGAAGTAAAATAAAATGACATTTCCCAAGAAAAGACAACCATGTATGCTTTATAGGCCGGGATCCCTAAAGAGCATAGTATTAAAAGACAAACGAAGCATGTAGGGCATGCAGTTCAGGACTGTTTTGGGACCTGTTACTCTTGTTTGTTAGTTATTTTATGCCATTTCATGTACTAGTAATGGAGAAATGCTGCTTCCTGAAGTGTTTAAAACACCTATAGAAGGTTCACTACTTGGAAAAACTTTTTTAGGGGTTTATTTCCTCATTTTTTAAAAATACATTTCTTCCTCTTTCATCTTGGTATTTGCAGAGGAGGTGATAATCCCCCTCATCCAAAGCATATCCTTTCAAAGAAAAAGAAAACAAAAGTTCCAAGCTGATCTCCATCTAATCAATCAGAACACCACTTCCTGCCCCACCCCCACCCCCACCCTTCCAGTTACCACTTGGTTTCAAATGGAACAGGAGGAGGAATCAGAAAAGTGTTCTGAAGCTTTTGGAGTGAGCTATTCTTCTACCCACAAGGCATTGGGAGGAGCACCACACAAAAGTACAGGATTATTACTATTAAAATTTAATTAGAAAAGGGAGTCATCTTCCTGTCACTTCCCCATTTCTCTTCTCACTTCCCCTTGCTTTCCCCTCACCATCTTTCCCTCCTTGCCCACTCTAGGCGTTTTTTTTTCAGCGGTGAACACACCACACAAGCTAGAGTAATAAGACCAAAGGGTCTGAGTTGTGAGAAAACAAACAAACAAACAAAAAAAAAACAAGAAAAAAAACCACAACAACAGAGTCCATAGAAGCTGCACCCAAATTACTGAGAAATATAAAATGAAAACAAGTTCAGAGTCAAATTCCAGGAAGATGCTGTATTTTGGGCTTACTCACCAATTTGTGTTTCATATTTACCAAAGTCTAAAACTTTGGTCATTAGGCTTCCGCTTCCTAATGCGAGAGAATAAATGCTGACTCCAGTCATTTGCCCCAGATGCCACCGGAAATGGCATCCTCTCCCCTGAGGCTCGCTCACCAACGTAACAGCACCCAGAGGTGAACTTGTCTGCCTTGTCGCCCAGGCTCGGAGCTCTCTCTCCAACAGGGTACTCTGATCGACAGCCGAGAGAGGCGTCTCTAGGAAAGAGATCTAGAATCCACTGAGAGGTACTTTTTACCTTTTTGGCATTCTCATTTCTCGGGTACTTTCTGTAGGAAGGAATTACCATCTGAGCCCCTCCATCCCACCCCCACTGAACTGAACAGCCTACAGAGACCACTGTTATTTCATAATAAGAAGGATTGATAACAAACTACTAAATCTCTAAAAATGTACAGTGAGAGGAAGCAGCAGGCTGTGAACAGGAAAGGATGTGCAGCGACTGGTGTACATGCTATCGTGTATGTTGTGGTTGACCACAAAGGCTTGGCATCAGCTTTGACTCCCAGCTCTGCTTTTGAGAAAATGGATGACCTTGGGCAGATGACTCAATCTGCCAAACTTCATTTTCGAGTGAGTAAAATGGAGGCGGGATAAGTACCAATTTCACAGGATTCTTCAGAGGAATAGATAGGTAAGCGGGTAAAACATGTAACATACTGCTGGAGTGGGTACGAAATAATTACCAAATAACAAGTTAAGTGAGTGTTACTAAGTAATAAGTTAAATACCTCATTTACTGGAAATCTCCCTTAACTACTTAATCCCATCCCCCAATAGTACTAAAGAGGCTCAGAAAAACCATAATTAACATTTGTAGAGGTGATGGAGCATTTCCTTTGGTTTCCACAGTTCACCCTTCAGTAGGGCAGTGCTGAAGGGAAGAAACAGGACTTGGGAAAAGCCTAGTGTCTGAAGTTAGTTCCTAGCATTATTTCCCCAGCGTAGACTCTTGTTCTGTCTGCTTCCGCACCTCCTGGACCTTGTCCCTCCTCCTGTTCCCCGTCCCAGGGCTTGAAACTGGGGACATCCTCAGTCACGCTGCTAACACACACAGCAGTGGGAACCCACATCTTCCAGATTCTTCTTAGAAACAGTATGCGCTGCTAGGCAGGCAGAGACTGGCGCTTAAAATCCCAATTTTAAACTCAAAAACTTAAAAAAATAAAGCCCTGGTTGGGTTGCTAAGTTGGTTGGAGTGTTGTCCCATGCACCCAGTGTTGCGGGTTCAATTCCAGGTCGGGGCACATTCCTAGGTTGTGAGTTCAATTCCTGGTCGAGGTGTGTACAGGAGGCAACCGACTGGCATCTCTCTCTCTCTCTCTCTCTCTCTCTCTCTCTTTCTCTCTCTTTCTGTGTGTTTCTAAACATATCATCAGGTGAGACTTAAAAAATAATAATAAGATAAATAAAAGAAAAAATTATTTCCCCATAGAAACACTATTACACTTAGTGTTCAGATACTACATTGTTAATAGTAACAACAATAAAATCTCCATTTTAAAAGCTCTTTTGTGTAATCTCCGTAGAGGAGCATAAGGATCATCTCTCCCATTTAAGGGATGTAAACAGAGGTGACCTGAGCTGCAGAGGTGGCAGGAACCCCAGCCTGCTGACTCAGCCTAATGCTCACTGGTTAAATGGCCTTTGCGTGCATTCCTGGAGACAGAATTTTCAGAATCCAACCGTGCATCAGCTGAAAGCAACTGAGTCATTATTAGCTCCAACATCACCCTTCCTTTTCAACCATGGGACTCTTTATTTAACTGCTGATTAGAATCTATAGTAGTCAGCATAAGTACACAAATATGACTTTAGGGCAGTGACTGAGCTTCCCATTGACGCACGAATAGAACGAAATGAGCTGTCAGAGGGATAAAAATGGCCCTCAGCTGACTTCATACCTGCTCTGCTTTCTCAGGGAAAACAGTTAAAGCTGGGCACAAAACATTGCTTTGCTTTGCTTTGTTTTTCAACAGAGAATAAAAAGGAAAACAGCATGCAAATATTTTTTTCTAGATAAGACTATTTCCCCCCCTCAAAATATCAACAAACATTTATAGCGAAGGTTAAAAGCTCAGGCTCTGGGGCCATATTTCCTCCTAAAGAAACAAAACAAAACCTTAAGCCTACCTACCTAATCAGAAGATTCACAGTCAGACCAGCCCTGCCTTTCACTAGCTGAACAACCTTGGGCTATGTACATAACCTCTCCAGGCCTCCGTGTACTCATCCATAACATGAAGACAGTAACAGCTCCCACCTCATCAGTTTGTGAGAATAAAATAGGCCTGGGTCAGAGTAAATGCTCAATGAATGAATGCTAACTACTCTGCATAAAACACCGAGCTGTGAGTGGCCCAAGGATGGGTGAAACCCACTTTGGTGACCCAGGACTTGTGACGCGGATAGAAAGGCAAATGAGCATTTAAAAATAGTACAAAAGGGAACCACGGGCTAAACAGAGGCATCTGTCAGAGGACGTGAGTTGTTTCTGTCTGGGAAGACAGGGAGGGCTCGCAGACAGAACTGCCCTTTAAACTGGGTCTTAAAGAAAGAGCAGAAGTTCAGTCGAGGAGGGGGACAGGGAACATTCAATGCTGAGTGGCAGAGCAGCATGAAGAGGTGAGGAAAAGCCCGACTTATTCTGAAAAACATAAAATAAAAATACAACACTAACCATCACAGGTTCCACACTCCTCTGGCATTCTATGTCATTTGCAAAAGAACTTCATATGCCGAATGGATTATCAGAAAAAGTCAGCTTGGTTTATTGAAGAACTTCGCTATACAAGGCAAGCAATAGGTAAGTTATTAAGTTGCAGTCTGATCATACATGTTCACTGACAGTAAAAATCAAGCTGAAAGGCTTGTTAACTTTATGGGAATAAATAAAGTTTGTGATGAAATGTCCTAAAAAAGAAGAAAAAGAAAAAGCCCCCTGAGTGTACACAGCTCTCTAATTCACCCACAGGTTTTGGGGCAGTGGTTCTCAACCTTCCTAATGCCGCCACCCTTTAATACAGTTCCTCAAGTTGTGGTGACCCCCAACCATAAAATTATTTTCGTTGCTTCTTCATAACTGTAATTTTGCTACTGTTATGAATCGTAATGTAAATATCTGATATGCAGGATGTATTTTCATTGTTACAAATTGAACATAATTAAAGCATAGTGATTAATCACAAAAACAATATGTAATTATATATGTGTTTTCCGATGGTCTTGGGCGACCTCTGTGAAAGGGTCATTTGACCCCCAAAGGGGTCGGGACCCACAGGTTGGCGACCCACAGGTTGAGAACCACTGCTTTGGGAAGATGTGCAGAAGGATCATAGCTTAGGTTAAAACACAAAGTTTACACGTGCAACCCACTGAAGCTATGCTCGCCTGTCAATGAAAGTGAAGAGAGGATATTTGAAAACACATATAAAATAGAAATACCATTTTAGAAAGCATTTCAATCAAACTAAGACCCTTTCTTAAGGATTAAGAGTAACTTGCAGAAAGTAAAAAAGTTAACCATAAAATCTAAGAGGTGAAATTGTTAGCTGTGCTCAGCTTCCCCCAAATAACATCACACCATCCTTCTTCCTCAAGTGTATTTTCAAGAATTATGTCTTATTTTTTTATTGTCAAGAAATGGTTGCACTGCTCTCTATCCAGACTATCATTCAATATCGTTTTGATGTTTTCGGAATAGTGGAAACAGCCACAGTCGTGAAAAATAAAAATGACTCAATTTAAGCAGTTCAGAAGCAGAATTTATATCCACTAACTTATTGCCAATGTTTCAAGCATAAGTTACACAGCAGCTCTCTGAAAATGCCGAGCAAGAAAATGCCGCCACCATTCCCACCGAGGACAGATACTTACCCTTAGGAAGAGCATTCAAAGGTCACAAGAGAAATATCTTAGGAATTCAGTCACAGTTTGTTGGGAGGATAAATGGGCGTCCAGAGAATTTAGAAGTGATAAGAGGCCCACACACAC